ATAAGCAAACAACACACGAAAAGCAGAATCTGTCAAAAACAGAATAGTCTGTAGCAACCTGTAACTCTCGAATACTTATGCAACTCTAAAAATCCTACAAAAATAGGAAGTCCTGAAAAATTTGTATATTGATGTACAGCAAAAAGAATCAACGCAATATCACATTTCTGTGAATTACTAAAATTATTTTTGTGCGTGCAAAGTTTCTGTTTTTCAGCAGAATCAAATTAACTATCACCATAGGTTATCCTATAAGTTCTTCTTGGCACAAACACTAAATAATGTCATGCAGCTGCGACTCCGGCCCGCCTAGGACGAAAAGCTCATTCTCTGTCATGATTTTTTGTCATAGAAGTAGGAGTCCACCATATCTATGATGATACTGGGTTTTGTCACAATTATCGTCATAGAAGTGTCATAAGTAAAAAAATCGTTCGGCCCAAAATGTCACGGATGTGTCTTTTTTTTGTAGTGGTGGGGAGCAGCAGTGGGGCCACGAATCCCTCGAAGATTAGATCCCTTCGGATGTCAGCGACGTAGTTCAAGTTCCCGAACCTGATCAGGTGACCAGGGCGTAGCTGTCGACCCGCTCGAGGCGGCCGGTTGAGTCGGGATGTAGCACGAAGCCGCCGAACACAAAGACCTGTCCGGGAAAAAAAGTCTCCCTAGTCATAGTATCATTGTTGATGAAGAGGCGCGCCATTGATCCTTCTGTTGACAATACATCGGAGCTCTCAATGAAAGCACCAATGTCGGTGTCAAAATTGGCAAATCTCGGGTAGGGGGGCCCAAGCTGTATGTCCGAGGATCAATGGTAACAATGGACAGAAGGATACAATGTTTATCCAGGTTCGGGCCCTCTTAAAGGAGGTAAAACCCTAAGTCCTGCTTGATTGTATTCGATGAGTATAGGGGTTACAAGAGTTGATCTGCCTCGAGATTGTAATGGCTAAATCCTAGCTTGTCTAGCCTATAAATATTATGATTCTGTCTCCGGTCTAGGCCCTCTGGATTATATAGACACTGGAGGGGCCTAGAGTTGTACAGAGTCAGTTTACAGAGAAAGGAAACAATATATCCAGACACTTAATCTTGTCGTTCACGCATACAGGAGTCCCAACTGGACACGGGAGGTGACCTTCTTCCTTTATCTTGACAGCCCATCAGTCCGGTCCATGTTGAATAGGCCGGATGCCCGAGGACCCCTTAGTCTGGGACTCCCTCAATGACCCATGAGGGGAAGATTCCCTATATCATATGAAGGCCTTATAGCTTGGTTTTGGGCCTCTTTGCTCCTTTGCCTCCATCTTTGACTTATTCTTTTATGTGTCTTCTTCCTTTGACTTATTGATCATGAAGTTTTCGTTGGACTTTTGTTGACCGGGGGTGACTTTCCTCGACTATTGTTGACCTCTCCTTGACTTGTATAGGACTGAATTTACGTTGACCGCCCATGTGGCATACCATGTAGAATAGGGGTGGAACCACAATTAGGATCGAAGCCCTACAACAGTCATCTATACCACTTGAGATAAATTTACATGATTAAACCTTTGCAGAAGTAGACACATGGACCCCATATTACTAAACCAACATAGTGCAATCGATCACAAGGCCCCTTGAGGCCATCATCTTGCCAGAGTCGACCGACCACCACCGCCGCGTGTGCTTGGATTGTCTCCTTTCTGATCTATGTTTGTCGACCAATTTCACTAGTCTGCCTATCCTAACCCACGATGCCGTTATACATTTGCGCCAGATTACACATATCCGACACCAATCCACCAAACTTCACCTTGACGAATATGCCCTATGCCATCCTTGAAGTTGTCGCGTATTCGCGCGAATACGTGCAAATCATACATCCTCCATGTACTTCTGAAAAAAAGGATATGTATTTTGAGGAAGCTTCCATACACAATCCGGAACGGAAGCTGTGCGCGCGCACGTACGCGCCTTGGATTCCTATGCATATACGTCCTCGAAACTAACTCACATATACCCCGTCAAGCTGGACAGCATATCGATCGAACATACCTAGGGCTGACATTACCGAGAAGACTCGCGTGTCTCCACGACGGCGCTCGCCGTATATAAATCGCCTTCCCAGGTGCACACGCTACGTACTTCAAACTCGGGATATCCTCCCTCTCGCGCGCCCCCTTCTTGTTCCCTCGATCCCTATCTCGGTCTCCTCCCCTCCTTTTGGCCGCATCTCGGCCTGTTTTTCGCACGTTACCACCGCCATCTTGGGAAACACCGATCGACCGATCCCGCGGCTGCATATACCTTTCTCCGGCTCTCCGCCTCTCTCCATGGCTTGCTCGTGAAGGCTGGCTAGCTCCCGGGAATCAGGAGCCAGAGAGGTATACGTACTGGAGTGCGCGGCTCGTCCTGGCATCGCATCGTATGCTTTGCTAGCCGAGCCTCGCAAGCGATCCGCCGAGCTTCCCGTTTAAATCCGTCGACCGATCGATCGATCAAGCGGCAGAGCTCTCCCCGTCGTTCATGTCGAGGGGTTTTGGTTTTGGTTTTGCCGCGTAGTGGCGTTGTACGCTTGCGTTTTGTTGCGTGGCGAGGCGACAAGGGAGCTCGGCCATGAAGGGCGGGGTCGTCGACGACTTGAGGGTTATGTTCACGAGGAAGGAGTCCTCCACCTGCCTCGCCAGGTCAGTGATGTTCCTCGTGATCTTCGCGGTCGGCGTGATCGCCGGCCTCTGGACGGCCACCGGGCCGCGCACCCAGTACACCAGGACCATCAACAACATCGTCTTCCCCAGCAGCAGCACCACCACCGTGTACGCCGAGGCCGGCTTCGCGGAGTTCGTGGCCCCGACGCGGCTCATGCACGACATGACGGACGAGCAACTCTTCTGGCGCGCCTCCATGGTGCCGGTGGCCGCCGAGTACCCGTTCAAGCGCGTGCCCAAGGTGGCCTTCATGTTCCTCACCGGCCGCGGCGAGCTGCCGCTCGCCCCGCTCTGGGAGCGCTTCTTCCGGGGCAATGAGGACCGCTTCTCCGTCTACGTCCACGCGCCGCCGGGGATGACGGTGAACGTCTCCACCAACTCGCCCTTCTACGGCCGCCAAATCCCAAGCCAGGTACGTAACGCACGTGCCACACGACACGACACAGCACAGCACAATGCCGCCGGCGCCATGACCGGCGGCATGCATCCTCACGTGCGGCCATTAATTCTTTTCCGCGTGCGTACGTGCAGGAGACGGCGTGGGGATCGATATCGCTGATGGACGCGGAGAAGCGGCTGCTGGCGAACGCGCTGCTGGACTTCTCCAACGAGCGCTTCGTGCTGCTCTCGGAGAGCTGCATCCCGCTGCACAGCTTCCGGGCGGTCTACGACTACCTCATCGGCTCACGGCACAGCTTCGTGGAGGTCTACTTCCAGCAGACGAAGCAGTGCCAGGGCCGGTACAGCCGCCGCATGGCGCCGGCGATCACGCTGCAGCAGTGGAGGAAAGGCTCCCAGTGGTTCGAGCTGAGCCGCGACCTGGCCATCAGCGTCCTCGCCGACACCAAGTACTACCCGCTCTTCAGGCGGCACTGCCGGCCGTCGTGCTACCCGGACGAGCACTACCTCCCGACCACCGTGAGCATGCTGCACGGCGCGCGGAACGCCAACCGCACGGTGACGTACGTCGACTGGTCCAAGGGCGGCGCCCACCCGGCCAAGCACACGGCCGAGAACGTGACGGCGGCGGCGATCCAGGGCATCAGGAGGAGGAGGTGGAGGAACGACAGGCCCTGCTATTACAACCAGAGGCCGACGTCGATGTGCTTCCTGTTCGCCAGGAAGTTCGCGCCCGACACGCTCGGGCCCCTGCTCAACATGTCGTCGGCGGTCATGGGGTACTAGCTAGCCCCCGCTGCCGCCGGCGGCGGCGATGATCGGACCGATTCTTCCATGTTTGTAACTTAGGATCTATATATTCAGCAGCCTCTTGACCACATTGTGACCCGTGAACATAAAACGCCTTCTCTTCATTTGCCGGCACCACATCTTGTCGAATTCGCTACAGTATGTATGGCCTTCGAAAAGAGGGGAAAAAAAGAAGGAAGGTTAGTTTAGGCATAATCATTCAGCAGCATGTCTCCACCACGTTGACTGGTGGAGAACTTGTTGCCTAGTTGTCCCAAGGTGTTTGTGCAGCACCTACTGGCACTAGTGCAGCACACACAAGTTGCTCTCTTCTGTTGCTGCTGGGCTACCAAACGCCAATTGGCACTGAACCACCGCAGCTCCCAAACAGGGTTGGTTTGGTTGCTCTTTCCTTTCCAGGAGCATCAGGGGCCCAACATCTGCTGGAGGAACTGCGCTGCACCAACCATCAATTCCAGCTCCTCCTCCCCTCCCCTCACCTCAGCTAGATCATTTCATTCAATTTGCGCGCTCGAGTACGAGCGATTCATTGCCATGGTCCAGTTCTGTCGAATTCTCCGGATCGCCCGGGCTTTTCTCGCCTACCAAATGGCCCATCCACGATCCAAGCATCTGCAGCAGTATGATTAACTGGTGAAACTGTCCTGAATTCCTTGAGATTTAAGCACCACCAGCATCAACAGCGTGTCAGTAGGTGACAAGGAAAAGCTGGGGAATGCACAAAGCAAACCTGTAAATTCCTCGGCCAAGCAAGGGATTAGGCGAAGCTGGCACCAGCGCACGCTAGTAACTGACGGAATGAGCACCAATTAACTGCACTCTGAGGTTGTTAATGGAATGAATGAGCTGGAGGCATCAAGAGGCCAAGAAAACAAGGCGAGATCTCGCGTGTACATACAGCTCATGGACCAAACATTTACTATACTATCCACATAATGCTTGGCTCACGTTTCATCATATCATATATATAGAGAGAAAAACTGAACTGTATGTACAAGGACCCATCTCTTTATGTACTAACACCCTCTGGAGAGGTATTAACAGCACGGCCGGGAAAACTTATACATACAGCTGGGCCTAACAACAACATTGCAAGCTCACTCAGGTGCAGTCCTTGAGGATTTCAGCGAGGCCGGCGCGCTGCTCGTCGGTGAGCTGCTCCGGGAAGACGATCTCGAGCTTCACCCGTAGATCGCCCCGCGCGCCTCTCTGCTCGGCGATCGGCATCCCTTCGCCTTTGATCACCTTCTCGTACCCAGGGCAGACGACCTCGTCGTCGAACGAGCAGCTCACCTTCTTGCCGCTCAGGAGCCTGAATGAGAATGACCAGCCGGTGAGCGCGTTCACCAGCGGCACCTTGGCCTTCAGCACCAGGTCGTCGCCCACCCTCTTGAACGTCGAGTGCTTCTTCTCGGCCACGGTGAAGACGGCGTCCGCCGGTAGGCACCCTGGCCTCTCATCCCCCATGCCGTCCAAGGTGACCTTGTGCCCTTTCCTCCACCCCGGCTTCACCATGATCGCCTGGGTCACCTCCTTCTTAACTATTGACCTGTCAAAGGCATTAATCATGTGATGGTGATTAGCCCAACAACATTCCCAGGGGATAGAGTCTAAAGGAGCAAGGAAGCTCAGGAGTCATTGTCTCTGAACCCTCCTAGGCCATGCCCTCACATGCACACGAAATTATGAATTAATACCGTCAAAGGACCACATCTTTGTTAGATTATAGGTCCAAAAGAAGGGTAATCAAAGCCCCCAACAAACTTGCATACACATATGTGGCAAGGAAAGCAACTGAAGCCTTAGAATTATCCCCTCGAGACAGGGCCCTGACACTAAACCCTTTCCAAGAACATCATTAGTGGTCGTATTACTCTCATGTTAGGTAGGATAATCTTTGCAAGGATAGCATAGATGCCCGCGAGGTGAAAAAAGGCGCGCACCGGAGAGCAGTTGCCTAAAGGCTTGGTTGTTATGTTCCAAAGTAAGCTAAATATTCCCCTGACGAATGCAGGAAGGTAGGCAGGCAGGCTATAAAGCAGTTCACCCACTGTAAAAAACAAGTGCGGCGTAGGCTGGAAAGGGAGCGGCAATGGTGCTGGGCTACTGTGCATCGAGGATTTGGAAACAGTGCGGCGAATTGGGGCGTGGGCGCAAGGTGCCAAGGTGGAATGGATGTCGCCGTCAGGAGCAGAGTCTGAATTCTTGCCTACCCTGAAATTTTCCAGGCATCGATCCGTCGAAATCTCCTATTTACATGGATGATGAATCACATCGAGCCTGTACCGCGTGATTTGATATTTTGTTTTCTTGAAGAATTCAGGTGAAGTTTCAATCAGTCCTGCTCATGGATTTGGTGAGGGGGAGGGGGAGGAAGCGGTGAGCGAGTGGCAGTACCCGTTCTTGGTGACGACGTCGCGGGTGAACTTGACCTGCTTCTTGCAGCCGCGGCAGAGCTCCTCCAGCGTGCACTCGAGGGCGCGCTCCAGCGGCGGCGCCTTGCGCATGATGGAGCTGGAGAACTCGGCGAAGGCGCGGCGGCCGCCCGTGTTGCCGGAGCTGTAGACCTTGGTGAACTCCCTGGCCGGTGTGGCGGGCGCGCTCCGCATGCAGAAGTCGTCGCTGCGCGACCTCGCCATGCGCGCGCCGCCCCCGCCGGCGCCGGCGCCGAACGTCCCGAACATCTCGGCCGCCCGGTCGTCGTTGCACACCCCGAACACCGCCCTGTTCTCCTGCTGGTCCAGGAGCGCCTGCGCAACCAAAACAAGCCCACGCCGACAGCGAATCAGGACGAGCTGCGAATGCATGCGGTTTCCACGGCGGCGACGCACGCACGGAGGGAGGCGCCCGGGGAAGAGGCGGGGGGGACACTGACCTCGTAGGCCTCGGTGATGGCCTTGAAGCGCGCCTCGGCCTCGGGCTTGGAGGCCGGCGGGTGCTTGTCGGGGTGCCATTTCCTGGCGAGGCCCTTGTAGGCGGCGCGGAGCCCCTGCGACGAGGTGCCCCTGGGGACGTCGAGGATCCGGTGGTAGAGCTCCGGCGGGTTCACCATTGGGGCCGGAGGGGGGCGACGCCGCTGGAGATTCTGTCGCGGGGGAAAGCGAGAAACGGGGGAGGGAGGAGGGAGTGGTGGGTTTGATGCAGAGGGAGGTGGTTAGTGGCAGAGAGGATGAGGAGGAGAGCGGAAGCAGAGTGAGCCAGTGGGGGAAATGAGTGGCTTTTGTGCAGGGCGATCTATTTGAAACCCGTTGGAGCGACCGAGCGAGAGAGAGAGCGAGGGATTTGTTACTACTAGTGGTAGTGCATGTGGGGCCGTATTGTTAGGTTGAATTGTCAATGGATGGAGCCTTCCATTGCTCACGTCTCCTTGTGAAAGTGAAAAAGAAATATCACCCCCTATGTCGCCCCCGAGGAAGCGACGGGGGCTAAATTTCCTGTTTTTGATCCTTTTCTGAAAGTTAATCTGAGATCTGACCCAGTTTGTAAAATTTCGTGATTTGACCCTTTTGCTATCGCCAGGTTCTTGACGGTAGGTTGTACACCCTACTGCCAGGGACCTTAGCGGTAGGAAGCACCCTTACCGCCAAACAGGCTAGCGGTAGCCTGTACAACCCTACCGCCAAGGTGCCCAGCGGTAGGTGCGAGCATGCACTATGTACCATACTTAAGAAAAAAAATCCGGTAGGGTGTTCAACCCTACCGCCAGGGTCCATGGCGGTAGGGTATAACAGATCTCGATCCCGATAATTTTACAAGGCAGGGTCAGATCTCGATCAAGTTTCAAAAAATGGTCAAAACACGAAATTTAGCCGCGATGGAGAGGGCACTCCCTATATCTCCGCCACAATTACCCTTTTCACCCCTCTTCCTCGTTGGTGCCAGAGGGCATGGCTAGGCGAAGCCGGACCGGGGACAGGCAGTGTAGTGGGGTGGGGGTGCCTGGACAATGACGATCAGTCTGGCCGACTAGCGACAATGGCTACGGCGGCACGAGCGGGAGGTTGCTGCCCTGTCGAGCGTCTGACAATGTTGGTGGTCTCTAGGCCTGTGCTCGGGTGGCTGTTCTCGACTGAGGCGGGTCGAGGAGGCGGGGCAGGCTTATGGTGGCAACAGTGGCAGGAGGGTCGTAGTCCTGCAGGTGGCGAGGGTAGTGGTGTCGACTTCCCTTCTCCTTGGTCCGAACCAGCGGCGCACGGGGCTGGCGGGTGCCGGCAGGACGCGCGGCGGCGGTGGCTCTGGCCTAGGGCTCTTTCTCTGGCGGGCCAGATTAAGAATGGTCGTGTTGACGGTGAGGGGTGTAGCGGTGGGAGGCTCGGGCTTGCTTTTGTCACCGATAGTTGTGACGCCCAAATCTGGATCTAGAGGTTTGTGCTCGTCGCAGTTGTCCAGGACGCCTTGTGCTAGCACGTATGAGATGTCGTGCGAAAGCTCCGCGCTTTGGTGCCACCGCTCTCCTCTTGTGAACGTCATTGCGGTACTTCTCTCTGTGGTAAGGTTCTATGTGAAGACCATTGTCTCTCCGGACTCGGCAGAGGCAACGCTTTGCATCGTTCTCCCTTCTTAGGGCGTTGTCGTGGCTTAGGTGTCCTAGGATGTGGCATGGCGTTGTCTGCAAAGCTTCATGTGTTCTTTTTTGCAACATAGACGTGTGTGTTTTGTGTTGTTCGGTTATCCTGGTATTTGATTTGTAAGAGGATTGTCTTAGTATTTTGTATCGTTCCACCATATTTTATACCAAAAAGATCATGATCAGCTATAAAAGTTCATCAGGAGTATGACACATCAAATATAATAAAAATTATATCAAGATCTTCAAACCACCAAACGATCACTATCGCCGCCAAAACGAGCCGCCGATGCACTGTTGTCGTGGCTCCCCAACCGAAGCCGGCTAAACCTTATCGATGACAGCTGGGAAGTCTTCGTGCATGTGACCCAAAGGACCAGCGTCATGGAGCCGCAGTCGTTGTCGTTGAACCCTTAACAGATCTGAGGCAACTGACATCAAATCTCGCCGTTGTACACACACGACAAGAAAACCTAACCTCACCAGCAGGAATCTATGCCAATGCTTCGTCGACAACGTCCACATGGACGGACTAGGGGATGATCAAAGCTCGAAAGAGAAACTCAAAGACAAGGCGATGACATCCGCCCAAGCGCCGCACCTGCAAAGACTCAAAAACTCTAAGCTAAACTACTAGCCGGAGCGAAGGCATCAGGATTCCCCTCCCCGCAGCCGACGTCTGGAGGAGTAGGCAGAGGGAAGGCGAATCCATAGACTCGCCGACAAAGCCTGAAGGGAAGCATTTGTCCTATCCGCACTTTGATTTGTTCTTTATCTATAAAACGGTGATAGATCTTGTTTCGAGGACTTATAGAACTCTAATGCATTTATTTATTTTTTGAGCAAAAGAACTCTAATGCATGACCGACAGTAAATCAAGTTGGTTGATCCTTACTGGATTCTCACAAATCTACGCCCATAGAGTCTGCCGGTGATTTCTAAATTGGATATAGGGTGAAGTAACATTTGAGCCATCTATTTTCTTTTTTATGTCCAAGTCGACGTCGTCAGCTGTCTGGTTATTGAAGCCATTGTTGAAATTTCGAAGCGTAAGAAAAATCAAGACTGGATCGCAAATCAACTTGTAAAAAAGAAAGTAAATCAACTTAGTGTAGACGGCTCAGCAATCTACTCCGCAAGCAAACTCAGTCGAAACCCAAGAAATTTTAGATTCCCACGAAAGTCGTCGGAATCTCTGTCTTGAACCGCGTCGTTGAAACGTCGGTTGGCTGCTGCAGTTACATTAGGAACCAGCAGCCAGACGGAGGAGCATAATAAACATAATCATGAGCAGCTGGCTGTACTCTCCGCGTTCAGCAGACCGCTGCCTCCGATCTGACTGTGGGGCGATGAGAGCCGTGTTTGGGTTTGCATGATTCGATGATTTGATCTCTGTCATGCATGTGGTTTGTCTTGTTTTTAACCCGTTGCGCCGCGGCAGGGCAGGTGAATGATTGGCGAATGACAAGTACGGCGTGGTTAGCAGCAGACATTGCCGTCCGTCCGTACCGGCGGCATCATCATCATCGCTACGGGCCGCCGCTGCTGCTCGTGCGTGCATGGCCTTGTCGCCACCCGATCGGATCCTGGCACTGTTTCCGTCTCGCTGGCCGCTGAGTCACCAGACTCTTCTTTTGTCCCTTGGTCCCGCTGGCGACACGCAGCGCGTAGTAGCATATTATTACCTCCGGGATCAAGATATGTTCATGATGATATGGATGTGTATAGTATAGTCCGTCGAGACGGGGTTGGGATTAGTCAATGGCGGAGCGCGCCTTGGATTCTTCCGGCGTGCATGTGCGAAGTGGGAGATTGGAAGGTGGGGAAATTGAAAGGAAGCCGGACGCCGCTCATCAAGCGCCCATTGATCGCCGTCGGGTACCACCGTCAGGTACGACGTGGCTCTGGCTCAGGTACCGGCTCTGTTCCGAGGATGCTTTGTTTGAAGCCACCACGTTGCACGCACCGTACCAAAGCATGACAACAGGGAGAGACGCCGGCCTGCTGCTAGACGCCGTGGTCGACGACGCGCGACTTGGACGCGGGCGGCCGAGCTAGGCAAGGTGACGGTCGACCCGGACGAGCTGGAGTCAGAGGCGGGGTTGGGAGGCGGGGGCATAAATTGGGCAGGGACAACGCCGTGATGTGATCCGTGATCTCACCTCATCTCATCTCATCTGATCTACCCGGCGAAGGCGATCGATCATAGAGGTAGTCCTAGCGCAAGGTGAAAGAAAATGGGGGTCTCGGGCTTGGGGCACGTACAGGAGGAGTGAATTGACATGATACGTTCGGGCCTCGGCGATACGCGGGCACCTGCTCGTACACCGTGTTATAGAACCCAGTGGTGATTTGACGTACGGCCCGATCGATGGCCAGCCGGGTTTGGTTATTCGCCTCTCTCTCGGTATCCTCGAGTCTCGATCGTCTAGTCTAAGTCTCTAATGGAAAGGAAAGACCCATTTGGGATTAACAAGTCGGCCATGATCATCGTAATCCCCAACAGGATCGGACCGCCCGTGCTGTAATAACCCGAGATACCCCGCACATGCCGCGCCCACAATTTGCAGGGCATGCGCAGCGTGGGAGACACACTGATTGGTTGGAGGGCAGTATAGATTGGTAGTGGTAGTGGTAAATTCCACTAGCACGAGGGTGAGGGTCCACTCTATCGGCGTATCGACCGGGTGGATTTCACCGTGGGCGCGCACGGGCCTCCCGGTGGTTGGGAAGTGGCGCCGTGGCGCGGCCATGCAGATGTAGGGTGGCGACGACGACGGAGTACGTACGCAAAACGGCGCGCGCTTCATGGGCGGCGTGTGGACGGTCGTCAGTCGTCACGTCTCCACACGGCGGGGTTGGGCCGATTTTGTTGGGTTCCGTTGGGGGGCCGAGTTGGAGCCACGGTACAATAAAAAGATAGCAGTAACTGAAGATGTGATTTCGAACAAAGAAAACTGAACATGTGTTAGGAACCTTGTACGGCATTGCTAGAAACCATCCGGATCCGGCCGTGGCTCCGAAGCCATGCGCAAAAAGGGACGTACGTATGTTGTGAACTTCTTCCGGAGATCCCAGTGGCAGTGACGTTCCTTTCACTCACCCGATCAGCTGGCGAGATCTTCACCACTACGCACGGTCGAGCAGATCCCGGCATAGGAGTGCACCATACTACTACGGAGCAAGGAGATGCGCCCGTACGCACATAGTTGACCCGACCGGGGCGGGCCAAGAATCCTATGCTTGCCGTTGATCAAACCAAGAAGAGCTAGCGAGACCACTGCTCGCCGTTGGGAGGTCACTGCGCGCTGCCGAATCGGGCCCATATCCCAGAATCCTATGCTGAACATTTTCCTCTTGGTGGTCTTTATCCAAAACCAAGCACAACTATCGTCTCACACGCTACTCGCTGCCTTAATCCATTACTTAATTTACCTCCTGGAGGAGCTGATGCAGGCACCAAACAGGTCGTCTACGCAAATTCA